AGAGCTGCCGCCCATCCCACCGAGACTGGCCCTGGCGGCCTGCCACACCCTGGCACCCCCACCCTTGCCTACGTGAGTCCTGGGCCCGCTCTCCCCAACCTCACCCACCACCAGGCCCACGGTCCCCTGTCCCTAAGGGGCAGGGTGTTCTCCTGCCCCAGAGCTGCCTGCTTCTTGCTTCTCCCCTCACTGTTCTCCAGCTGGGGGTCCCCTCTTCACCTCCCCACACAGGCTCTACTGCCTGCCCCGCTTCTCTGCTGCCTACCTGCCCATTAGGGTGCCCTTGATCTCCCTGACCCTCGATCACAATGATAATGATAATGACACGAATAAACACCCAGCCCAGGGCCTGGCTTGCTGCAGGGGCCCTGTCCTGACTCGTTCATTGTGCAGCTGTCACCCGCTGCGTGCCAGGCAGGCACTGTCATCAGGCCCATCTTACAGATGAGGATACTGAGGCTAGAGTTGGGAAGTCCCTTGCGCACGGACACACAGCCAGTAAGTGGCCGGGCCAGAAGCGGGCTGGGGGTCTTGGCTTGTCCCTGCCAAGCTGCTGTCCGGCCCCATCACACTCAGTGTCCTCGGGCAGCAGACAGGACTCGCATTCCGGCTCCTCTGGTGTGATCCTCGCAAGTGGCCTAACCTCTCTCTGCCTCCGTTTCCCCACCTGTAAAGTGGGGGCAGTAACAGTATCTCCTTTATGGGCGGCAGTGAAACTCCAACGAGCTCATTCATATACAGGGAGTCCTTAGAGCAGGGGTGGGGAACGTCCGGCCCTCGGGCCACCTAAGGCCTGAGAAATCATTGGGTCTGGCCCTGCCAAGGCATCCGGGATGAGTTCATTGAATGTCTGACCAACTATAGCAGGCTGGTTTTTAAGTCGATAATATCGTATGGCCCGAGAATGATGTTATAAATATCCAGCGGCCCTTGGCAGAAAAAAGGGTCCCCACCCCTGCCTTGGAGTAAAGCCTCCTGGGGCACCTGGCACCGAGGAAGAGCTTGCGGGATCTCTGCCAATGTTGCCATCCCCCAGACACGGAGGCGAGGCCCGGCCCGCATCCATCACCTGCCCTAAGTCTCACTGCCAGCAAGGGCCGCCCCCCACGCTCCCCGGGCCTGGCCCCTGGCCCGCTCAGCGCCTTCTCCTGCCTGGTGCTCCCAGACTGCAGCTCTGAGTCTGGCCCCCCCTCCCCCTTCCCTGCAGAAGCCCCTCCTCAGAGACAGCCCCCCTGCTCCTCCCGCCTCCAGCTGGCAGCCCTTGCTAGCTGGTCTGAGGCCCTGGGAGGTGACCCCACTCCACTGAGAGATACACACAGACACACACACAGAGGCACAAAGACAGACAGACACACACACACACACACACTCACTCCAACTCCCTGGACATCCTCCCTCCACCTCCCATGTGCTTTGCCCTTTTCACCCTCTGTTTCTTTCTGCAATGACTGACTTACAGACCGTCCATCGTCCTCAGCTCCCCACTCTACCCTCATCCTAACGGGGGTCCTCCTTGACCCTCTGCCCCCACCACCTCAGGGCCTCTGTTCAGTGGATCCATTCCCACCAGCCAGATCTGAGTGAGGGAGGGGAGATAACATGGCCTGGGGGTGCAGCGGGGCTCATCTGGGCCTGGGAAGAACCTGGGAGCAGGGGGAGGCTGTCCCTCTGTGAATCACCCCCCCGCCCCCACGCCCCACCAGGCTGAGCTGGGCTCTGTCCTCTGCACCTGAGTATGAGACCAACTGTTGTGATGGAGAAGGGTCGAGACAGGATGGGACTCACTCCTGTGGTGAAGCTGCAGGCTTTCCGGAAGTGGTGGCCTGAACCCCTTCCCCACCTGAGTTCTCCACAGGGGAGTGAGGTGATGCGATCACCCTCCCGTCAGAAAGAACCCAAAGGTCACTAATTACCCGATTACCAATTGAGATCCCCACCGAACAGGGAGGAAACCGAGGCTCAGAGAGGCAGCGTCATTTCCCAAGAACACACAGGCACCCCGGCTCCCTGATGACCTTCCCACTATCCCTCTGGGTCTCAGGACTTGCCAGCCCAGCCTCTCAACCCTCCTGGAGTCCACAGCTCCTTCGATCGCTCCGAGGAGTGGTCCACGGACCCCCACATCAGCATCTCACTTTGGGATGTTTGCTAGAAATACAGACCCCTGGGCCCAGCAGAAGCCCCGGGGCTGGGCCCTGGAATCTGCATTTTTCTTTTTTAACTTTCCGCCCAGGAATCCTGATAAACAGTAAGATTTGAGAGCCACTGCCTTCGGCCACCTGATCAGTGCTCCCGGGACAATGTCCACAGTCCTCACAGAATCCTGTGAACTATGTAGGAGCACAGACTCCGGAGCCCGAAGGCCTGGGTTCCAATCCTGCCCCTGACCGCCCCTCAGCTGAGTTACCTTGGGCAGGTGCCCTCACCTCTCTGTGCCTCAGTTTTCACATCTGTAAAATGGGGATGGTGATAGCACTGGCCTCACAGAGCTGCTGTGAGAATGCCACACACCGGGCACTCAGCACCTGGCACCTGGCACGCCGAAGCTCTCAACGGGCAGGTCCATGCGGTGTGTCAGGCCCTGAGTTAAGCACTTTATGTCAATTAGGTTTCATTTAAACCGAAGGAAGCAGATATTGTGTCATTTTACAGCAAAGGCAACTGAGCTACAAAAAGAAGTCAAATGCCCAAGGAACACAGTGGGACATGAACACGTAGGGTCTGACTCCGTAGCCCGCGCCCAGAGCCGCCGCTCTGTGAGCCCCCTGGTTTCACACCATCGAGGTTCATCAGTCCCCTGGGGCTTACCCGGCTCCAGAGCCCCCATTTTAAAGACGAGAATAAAGAGGTTCTGAGACCCAGGCTTAACCAGGTACCCCCACCAGGCAGTCCCTCTTAGATTTCCTGAGGGCAGGGGGAGAAAACTGGGGACAGGAAACAGAAAGCCAGGGTCTGATGGGCCCCATCTCGCTCCCAGCCTGTTCCTGCAACCAGCACGCCCGCCGCTGCAGGTTCAACTCGGAGCTGTTCCGGCTGTCGGGAGGCCGGAGTGGCGGTGTCTGCGAGCGATGCCGCCACCACACGGCCGGGCGGCACTGCCACTACTGCCAGCCAGGGTTCTGGAGGGACCCCGGGCAGCCTATCACCAGCCGTAAGGCCTGCAGGGGTGAGTTCAGACTGAAGCCGAGCCTAGGCGGGTCTGAGGCCGGAGGGGCTGGGGAACGAAGAGGGGGCGTCTAGAGCCCAGACACCCACATCCGAGATCCTCTCTTCACACAGCCTGCCAGTGCCACCCCATTGGGGCGACAGGCGGCACCTGCAACCAGACCAGCGGGCAATGTTCCTGTAAGATAGGGGTCACCGGCCTGACGTGCAGCCGCTGTGGCCCTGGCTACCAGCAGAGCCGCTCCCCGCGGATGCCCTGCCAGCGTGAGTCCTGAGGGGCCACCGTCCTGCGTGGGGTTGGAAGGAGACATCACAGATCTCCAGTGGACAAAGCAGGACGAGGGCTGGGTCCTGGGATGGGAGCGAGAGGCAGGAGGCCGGACTCTGGGTTCCGGGGGGAAGTGGGGACTGAAAGTCCAGTCTCCTGGGTCGGTCTCAGTCTCGGAGAGAAGGCTGGGGGCCTGGACTCCTCCATCTGAGGGAGGTGGGGCTGGGGGTGCAGATTTAAAGTCCAGTCTCCTGGGTCGGTCTCAGTCTCGGAGAGGAAAAGGCTGGGGGCCTGGACTCCTCCATCTGAGGGAGGCGGGGCTGGGGGTGCAGATTCCTGGGTCTGAAGGAAGAAGGTCCGGAGAGAAGGGCAAAGGGCGCTTGCCCTCTTATGCCTGAACAGCTGGACTCCTGGGAGGTGGGGATGGGGGGGAAGCGGGGCAGGAACTAAGGTCAAATTTCTCCTCCGGTCTCTCCTAGGAATCCCAGAGGCAACAACCACCCTGGCGACGACCTCTAGTGCTTACGGCTCGGGTAAGACAGGCGGGCGTGGAGACCCCCACCAGCAAGAGGGGCTGGGGATGGGCTGATGGGGCTCCCCAGTGGGGACACGGGGGTGGCCCATTGAGCTCAGTCCCGGGGTCTGAGCACCCCAGCTGCCCACCAAGATGGAATGCGGGGCTGGGCAGGGACAGAAGGCTGTGGTCCCGGCCTCCGGAGCCCGCGGCAGACAGCCCGACCCTCCCCAGACCCTCAGTGTCACAACTACTGCAATGTCTCGGGCACCAGGGTACACATGAGCCTGCGGAGGTTCTGCCAACAGGACTACGGTGAGTGATGGGCAGAAAAGGGCCTGCGGCTGCAGAGGGGCCCGGATGACACGCCAGCCCTGTCTCCTCTTTCCCTCTGTTCTTGGCCTCGGCCCCATCCCCACAGAGACGCACCCTTCCTGATGTGACCCCGGAAGCCCACCCTCAGGTCCCCGCCCCTCCCCATCAGAACCGACCCCCGGGACCCTGGAGGCTCCCCCACCACCCAGGCCTGACATCTCTCCGCCCCTCAGCTCCAGGCGC